ACGTATACTCATACTCAACCGGCAGTTGACTTCTGACTTCAAACTACCATCACCACACTGGATGCCATATTCTACCACTTCCACAGTAATCATCCTACCTTTTCTCTGCCTTTGTGTCTGTCTCTTTTACAACTGTAAACCACTCTTCTGTTCCCCATCCCTCGACTTTCTGTTACTTTGATGTTCCTTCCCCCTGTGAAGCCCGAAGTCAGCTAAAGTGCTGATGATAACTATCAAAACGCCTGCCATTTGAAATAAATAAATAAATATTCACAGAATAATTGCGGTAAATAGCACTAGGCCATTTAGTGGGGGGGGGGGGGGCATATTCCTCTTAGGCCCCTCGAAAGTCCTTCATAAAAAGCCTTTGGTCTAAAATTGTGGCAAAGATTCTCCGAGCAGCTACTTTATGCAGATGTTCAAGAGGTAGCGTGATCACCCAAAAACTCACAGATTCAACACCAACCAATACTAGAGCATTAGCAGAATCTCCACCAACTGCTCCTTAGTGCCTCAATGACCCAACTGGATTTGGGCTGATTAGAGTGGATCAGAAGTAGGACAAATTGTCATTACAACATCCCCGTAATTGCACTCTCCTCTTCCTGTACTATTATATCAATTACTTTTTTATTCCTGTTACACTTTTCTCGTTCCCAGTCAGAGATATGCAACAAACTCTTTCCAGAATCATCGCTGGATTTATTACCACATAATCACAAGTATGATTGAGTGCAAATACAGACTGCACTACGGCTAAACATGGTCCAAAGTGGGGAACATTCCTCAATATGGACTTTAGGTGTTTATCACCATAATTACATCTACAACTCACCTCCGGATTGAAAACCAACTTCTGCAGACGATTTACTCCCAGCAAGTCAAATATAATTTCTGTCATGGCAAAGTCCAATTTCTCCTAAAAAACGAGTTATTTTTCTTAAAAAAACTATTAAAAAATAGCAGAAACTCAACTGAACAAGTGGAAAAAACAACACACCTGAGCTATGAAATGAATGATTTTCACATGGACGGTGCTTGAGGCGTTCTTGGGCAAAACTGACTTGGAGCCTTTGGGGAAAAGGCCATTCACTATGCTCAACAACTTATTCAATGTGTCGGCGTGTTTTTCACATTTTATTCTCACCACGTAGACCCTGCGAAAGAAAAAGAGCAAAGCGAAGATAAATGAATGTTCACTTTCACTGCATTGTGAAATTTTTTGCTCACATGTGCGTGTGTGTGCGTGTGCTTATAAGTTAGCGATTGACATACTTGCCAGCCAATTAATTATACCAAATGGCAGGCTTTATGATAGCTATCCTTAGCACCTTAGTTGACTTCGGGTTTCGCAGAGGGGTAGAACAAAGGTACAAAAGTGGAGAGAGGGAACTGAAGAGTGATTCATAGATGTAAAAGAGACAGGCACAATGGCAGAGAAAAAGGTAAGGTAAGGTGAGTACTGTGAAAGTGGCTGAATATGACACACACCAGGTCATGGTAGTTTGAAGTCAGAAGTCAATTGCCAGTTAATAGACTTTCTGCCGTATGAGAAAACGTTGGCCAGGCGGCATCACGCTGAGGTAAGTCCACGCTGCACCCTCCCCCCCCCCTTTTGATATTTCAAGTGAACGAGATGACAAATAGGATTGATTCCGGCAATTGAAAAGTGGGGACAATTGGATTTCCCTAACGGGGACGCATTACGAGGACACCCCTCCATTCAAAATAAGCGCTAGAAAAGACATCGCTAGCAGACTCTGGAACTTATTTCTATTTAACTAACTTCATTATAATAAATCGTTAGATTGCGAGGACGTCTGAACAAGCTGTCTATTCAATACAAGGTGTTTTAATAAGAATTTAAAAATACGAGAACTAAGAAGTTATTATTGCAAATTATTCCACTCTCCACACCCCCATGTTGGGATTTAAGAAATGCCGACTTACCAAAGTAGGCGAAACAGCGATTCCACACTGACTTGGCCGAAGTCTCGACTTTTAAGCTGGCTCAAGCACAGATGCATAAATGGCGACCAATTATTGAGGAAAAATGTTTTAGTTCCAACACAAAGTAGACATGTAACCATGGGGAAAAGAGCCTAAAAGGACAACCAGTAACCGATATATTTAAGGAAGTTTAGAGAGAGAACAAGATGGCATGAGAAACGATGATGAATCACTCACTAGAACATGCTTCTTCTTATTAGCCAGTTCGAAAGACGGTGGATAAAGGAGATCAACAAAGTTTTTAAGGGCCGGTATGTTCACTTCATGGCGCACAACAGCTGCAACTGGCAGTAGAATTTCCACAAAGAGACACGTCATAGCATGACGAATCTCCTTCTCTTTGACCTCCAGAAAGTACTGCCCCATTTCATGGAGAAATGTGAAGTAGTTCACAAACTCTTCAATGGGGTGCATCTACGAATAGCAAAAGCGTGCAAATATGTTTTATACTCACCTGCTTAAATAATTTAAGTAGTATATGAGATAGAGAACTTACTTTTACGCGGAAAAATTTCATTCCCATAAGAAGCGATATTATGCTGTGCATGGTATGGGGACTACTTTCTTTCGCACGGAGATGCTCTAGTCGGGTCGAAAAATGCTGTCTCACAAGGTTGAATCTAACAGATACGGGTGATAAAAAGGGGAGTAAATACCATTAAATGAAGAGATTTTACGTTAGGAATTATAGGAGCCTGTAGTGACTGAGACATTAGTATTGGGTTGGCAACTAAGTCATTGCCGTTTTTGTTGACAGATTCACTCTATACTTTCTTTTGTTTTGTTAACGTGGCCAGAGCATCTAACCTAATCTAACCTATATTTTTTTCTTACTGTGTGGGCTTCTAGGTTAATTAGTAAAAAATTTTTTTGTTTAGTTCTTTAGTTTTGTTTTTATCCAAATTTAAAAATGAAAGAACAGGACGTGAACTTCCGACACATTTTATTGTATTACTTCCGAAAAGGCAAGAACGCATCGCAAGCACAAAAGAAGTTATGTGCCGTATATGGAGATGAAGCCGTGAGGAAGAAAGGCAGTGTCGAAATTGGTTTGAAAGATTTCGTTCCGGTGATTTTTCACTGAAAAATTCACAACGATCTGGCCGCCCAGTCGAAGTGGATGAAACCCATATCAAGGCCATTATCGATTCAAATCGTCACAGCACAACACGAGATATTGCAGAAAAGCTGCTCAATGTGTCGCATACATGCATTGAAAAAAATTAAAAACCCTTGGTTATGTCAAGAAACTTGATTTACGGATCCCTCACCAGTTAAAGGAAATTCATTTGACGCAACGGATTAGCATCTGTGATTCGCCGCTACTGAAACGCAATGAGAATGATCCATTTCTGAAGAACCTAGTTACTGGCGACGAAAAGTGGATAGTTTATAACAATGTTACTCGAAAGAGATCATGGGTGAAGCAAGATCAACCAGCCCAAACAGTATCAAAAGCAGAGATTCACCAAAAAACAAAAAATTATGCTGTCAGTCTGGTGGGATCACAAAGGAATTTTGTATTTTGAACTCATGCCGCAGAACCAAACGATAAATTCAAATGTGTATGTTGAAGAACTCGAAAAACTGAAGGATGCAATTGAAGATAAGCGGCCGGCATTATCAAATCGGAAGGGTATTGTTTTCCATCATGATAGCGCAAGGTCCCACACATCTTTGGTTACTCGGCAAAAATTATTGGAACTGGGTTGGGATGTTTTGTCACACCCACCATATAGCCCTCACCTTGCGCCTTCGGATTACCATTTGTTTCGTTCCATGCAAAACTCCTTAAATGGTAAAATTTTTAACAACGCGGATGATGTCGGATTACACCTAATTCAGTTTTTTAATAGCAAAGACCAGACATTTTACGAACTGGGAATTTTTACTCTGCCAGAACGATGGAAAAAGGTCATCGACAAGAACGGCCAATATCTAATTGAATAAAGTTATATTTTTAAACAAAAATTCCGAATTTGCCTTCTTATTTGAAATCGGCAATGACTTAGTTGCCAACCTAATAGTTACAGCTTTTTCTTTAGCTGCCTATAAATTTACCCCATTAGCTCAAAAAATAACATCCAAGTTAGTTTAGGCAATCGCCTTCAGCACATATCTTGGCCAAGGCTATGATAACATAGAACCACCCTGGTGGGAAAACCAAATTGCCACCCGCTTAAATCGACAGGTGGTAGAAAGAAAAACAAATTTAGTTCAGCTTTTTTGTGGAGTCGTGAAAAGGGAAATAAATGGGAATTGGGTCTAATCGACTCTCTCTCTCTCAATTCTTCACTTTAAGATGGAAAGAAATAGGCTAATTGTCGAGAAATCCTAGTTTGTTGAAAACATGTGCAAGCTTGTTAATTCAACTCTGTTAGGTGTTGCATTGGGGTCACCTAACGAACGAACAAAGGACGTCAGATAGTCAACTCAGTTATGCATATCTGGTAGAACGAAGCAAAAAAATAGCCCCATGTGTGCTAAAAGTAGATTCACAGCCTTGTACGCACCTGCCTATCGAGTGAATCAATGGGAAAGCTGAACGGATAGCTCAGCGTGGCTATTGTCTATTGGCGCTCCAAATGGAGGCGATCGAACATGATGGGCCATGGCCATCTCCTCTCACCATTTATAATGCTTAAGATTGTTGGCCCATTAACTCACATGATAGCTTATGCTCTCAAAGTAAAGACCCATTCAGATCACACTCCTCGCAATATGGTCCAATCTAGCTTTCCAATTATAACGCTCACCAGGTAAGTAACAGTATCGAATTAGAGATTTCATTTATCTCCCATTTCTTCCCATGCCCTCCCCCCCCCTTCCCCCCTAATTAATATTCCTGTTTCAGAAGTAAAATAAACCTTGAACCTCTCCTCAAACCGGACTGTCTACCTTAGCAAGATCTTCACTATTTTTATGGTGATTTATTATAAGAACGTACAAAAAAATCATCAATTCAAGTATAAAATCAGACTGAAGAAAAAAAATTTCCTAAAAAAAGTAGATGAAAATACACAAATTGAAAGATGTTCCGAATTTGCATAAATGACTCAGACAAATGGTATTAAAAATAATATTTTTGCCATACTCAGTAACAATTGTTTATAAATAAATAACTACTCGGGGCTCTAAGGGGAAGAAGAGTTGCAAACCAAACTACAAGAAAATTAACTTAATTATATAGGATTGGATGTGAGGATTGACCAACCGTAAAACAACAACTATGCCGATGGACCCTCCATCCTTGGGCTCAACTATGCAGGTACGAGAGTAGAACTATAGTGATCGGAAAAATAGTGCATGAGACCGGGGTCAACAAATTAGAAGTTAGAATTAATATTTGGCGGCTAGCAGTAAACATAGAGAGTTTCAAGTAGAGCAACAAATTAAGAGTTGAGTGTTAGCAAAAATCCACTATGAAACAGTGGCTAAAAGATATAGAGAACTGAAAGAACGAGCCCTACCAGTAGACAAATGACAGGCATGTGCCTGTGTAAATATTTTCAAAAGGGAGCTTTAAGTGCATCATAGAGGAGGGAGGTGGGGGGAAGTAGTATGAAGATGGAAGATCAGATAACGGTGTTCGAGAAAACTGAGCCCAAACAACATTTACTCACTTAAGTGGCTTATCCTACAAATTAAGATAAACGCCTTGACTATATACTTGATTGTCTACGGAGAAATTCAAATCAATAAAGGAATAAAAGCATATCAAGCACCACTAAAGGCTATAAAACAAACATGTTAAGGTTGTAGTGGAGTCAACCATAGAATGCCCAACTGTGGGTTCGATAATAATTAGGTCTTAGAGATGAGTTGATAACCTAAATAAACCTTTGGAAACCCATAGAAATTCAACCTTCAAGTTTCTTTCAATTAGGATTCCGAAAAGAGATGACAAGTGACGTTAGTTAATAACTACTCCTTAAAAACTAGCTTTTACTGTGACCAACTCAATTTCGCACAAATTATTTAAGTACCATTGTACATTAACTGTTCAATGAGGAGTATTATATAGACCTATAGCTGTCAGCTGGGAAGTGCACAGAATTAAGATGCAGGCCATAAATACCGAGATGGGTAAAATCCGACCAGAGAGCGAAAGGCATAAATTAGAGGGACTCTTTCTCACGTAATTAGAGCGCACAATAGGAGAAGCCTAGCGCATTCCGCGAACAGATCAGAAAAGGTCTTGCCAGTTCAAAAAACGACTGTAAATACTATGATCTACATTTCACACTCCATCTAATTTATGCATATTTGATTTTCTCTAAACCGCCGGCTGTCTGCAAGTTAGATTAAATTGAGATTTTTATTATTGTAGGAAATCGATCAAAGGCGCAGAATTATAGGGTAATTCAAGCATACAAACCAACCGGGAGGTTAAACTTAAGAAAAACTGAATTTATAACGATTCAAATTGAAGGGTATGAATCATTTATTCCAATCAGCTTTCTACGTGGGAGCTAATGAACTCACACCCATATAGAAAAGAGTTTTAAAACACTACTTGGGTTGAGGGACAGCAACATTGAAGCCCAGCCAGTCCCACTGGCAATGGGTCTTCCTGTTTGTACACAGAAAAATGATTCATTAAATATAATATAAATGAATGTATAGTGCCATATACTTAATTGAATTAGGTATGAAATTAATTTTACTCGAAATGAAGACAAAGAAGATTCAATGTTGGGCTTACACAAACTACATCCTTATAATTTCAGGAAAAAACGACTAACCGTTCATCAAGGCACAAATCACAAAGAACAAAAAAACGCGCAATTCACATACTCGAGATTTCGGCTAGTGGCAATGATACACATCAGTACATATATATAGAGCACTCGAAAATAAAACTTTAACCAGACTCACCGCGTTTGTGATAACTCGCCAACCACTTTCGCATAGGCATCAGCTACTGTATTTATATTCCCTGCATTCAATTTCGCTTGCAGACTGCCGTTTTGAAAGAAAAGAACCATTAATTCACTTTTGAAAAGACAAAGAAAAAGAGGCGTAGCAGAGCACAAGAGCTTACTTTTCCTTATACTCAAAATGTCTAAAGGCCTGATTTAGAATTTTGTTAATAATATCATCGTGACCAGGATGATAGGGCAGCTGTTTTAACACAGAGGCTAGAGTTTGGCAGTAGAGAATATCAATACAAAGCTATAGGAGGAAAAAAGAATAGTATTAAACCTATATTCGACTGAATTGAAAATACGCAGGATTTTGCGTACATCTCGACGTTCAGCCATATTCTCTCGTGCGAGTGAAGACATAGCTGGAATTGGAGGATCTTGGGTTGTGTTTGCAGATGAGGGAAGAGCATTATTGACCTCTTGCGAAGAAACTGCGACACCTTGCGTTACTCCAGTTGTAGTCAGTGAACTCTCAACTACCATTGATCTAATTAGGAGTTCGCGGCCACCAGGGGGAGTATTGGATACAGCTTGACCTGTCGCCGCCGAAAGAGTTTGGCTTCGAAGTCCAGCTTTAGATGGTGTACGACGGAACGGATAAAGAGATCCACTTGAATGCTGGGTATCATACCATTTCGTAATTGTTTGTAGGAGACTTGGTAGGGCATGCTCAGCGCAGGAATATAGAGCGGTAAGAAGCTGTTGAAAAGCTGTGTCCTCTGACATACGCAAACACTTAAGCAGATCATTGTCCTAAAAAAGCAATGAACCAACATAAGCAAGAAACTCACGGCTTTCTCATCAAGGGCATTTTCAACCGTAGATTGACACATGGAGGCAAACTGCTTGAGCAAAGAATGAACAACAAGTTCGCCTGGATTTGAGCATATCATATTTTACATTAATGAAATCTAAAAAGAGAACGATTCCAAAATGAGACGAAAATATAAACGAAATTCAATTAATGTGAAAGGAAAAAGCAAACAACAATCTGTGGATAAGCAGGTAGAAATTTGACAAACATATACAAAAGACAAGTTCGATTTTCTGAAAAAAGTACCAAATTTTAAAGCATAATATTTACAAGAAAACTAAGAAACATAGCTACATGAAGTTCTTAAACTCCGTAAATGAAGATTGTCGAAATAAAAGTAACCTCTCACAAACACTAAATTCGAATATGTGCTTTACCTTGATTCGCTAATAGAATGTCATTGAAGTAATCAAGAATTACATGAATAACAAACTAATTAATCAGTTAAAATTAATGTAGTTAATCAAAATGTTTTGACTAGCGTTTTATTAATTTATACGCCTATAATTGACGTATTCTTTGTAAATAAACTTGATAAAAAATACCCCATCTATACTTCTCATAACAATAAGCCCTTTTCTTGGATGGGACGAAACATCACTGCGCAAAATAAGGATTTTATCTATGATATTTGTGAAACATAATAAGGGAACTACATAGGAATAATTGAAGTATTGTCATATCAAAATTATATGGGTCTTTTGAACAACTATGGTTTTGTTTCTCAAGAAAGCTATTCATATTGGATAACTGATCAACCCACTACAACACATCGATTTTGGGAAAAAAATATTCATCGGTAGATGCTCAGCTGTATATGTATTTTCGTGTTGAGCTTTTTATAAAGAAGCAACTGAATGTGAGTTTCTTATCAAAGTGCTTGAATAATGACACACACTTGCTTCATGTTGATCAAAGCTCATATAATCCAGTTCGGGACCCGATCAAGCACGTCAGTTTTCTTAGTCCTATATAACACTACGGTCACTAAAACCAAAGCGTTCTCTCACTGGTCAGAACTAATTTAAAATCATTTTCGTAATTCAGGCCTTATAAAATATTACTAAGTTAATATTATCATACTAACTACTTGCTATTCCATTGATAAAATTTTTATAATGAATCAAATATTACATTCAATCACTCAATTCCACGCAATAAAAATTACCCGTGCTGATGAAAACCTACTGGTACCTCTCTTTCACTAAAAGTACTTTATAAATACAATGCCTATTGGAAAACATTTTTTGATTTTATTTCTATTATTTATTGTAATCCTAACTGGGTCTTCTTTAGACGCGAGAACTATGTTTTGAAACACATTATTAAGTCACTTAAACTAAAAACTAGTCACCAGGAGCAATATTGTTAGGCTCAAACTGAGAGGAATGTGTAAATATATTTGCTTAGACTAGGTAAGAGGAGGTACTTTTTTATCAACTGGTTATTATTACAACCCTGATTAGATAAAAATGTGCTTTTAACGACGTTATCCCCAGAAAAAAATGTTCAAATGCTTTTCTCGGCTTTATGGCCATGACTTACAGGCCTGTAGCCGTTTGCTACACGAACAAGCCTTGACTTATGTCAGCAATCCCTATGGCAAGTTCTCCTAGTTTGTAAAGGCTCCTTAGATTAGCAAAGCTACCGTAATGCTATAGAAGAAAAAGACTTATGACGTGGAATACGTTTAATTGGGCTGTGTATTACAGACTGAGCCTAGTAAATAAAGTGCAATGAAGAGTTTATTGACTAAGCAAGGGCTATTGGTTGACGACTGGCTGAGTAGTCACTACGATCACGACCGCACTTACTCCCTACGCGAAGTAGCACAGTCGCACTCTCGAGTCCCTCTGAGTGCGCATGAGATTTCTTTCTTCCTCTATGACAGCATTATGCGTCCCATGGCCTCACTTAGGACTGTTTTAGCATCTAGATTCATCTGCTTTAGTTATTGGTAAAAATGTGTACTTCTTGGTTTCACTCGCAGGGTATAACAATATTCCATTTAGGTAGCCTATGTGCGTACAAAGAAGCCCACTAGGAATAAGTGGTATGATAGGGCAGGGATTCACGATATTTCAACAATAAAATCTATTGCTAATAATCAATCACTATCGATGATTCCTTCCTGGCCTTTCGGTTCTCCTAAAAAATAAATAATTCCATAATTTTAATAAAAAGCCTCTTAGACAAACAACATATATTTTTTTATGAGCATATGATTAAGATCACCACTAACGACATTTGTTTACGAGAAAATGGTTAAGATCACAACGAAAAATTCATAAATAATTCGCGTTTTTTTCCTGTTCACTCTTCAGAGGTCATCGAGAGGAATGTTGATGTAGGTTGTGAAAGAGAATGGTTCAAACAGATAACCCGTTCCAGAATAAAATTTTGATTCGAATTCAACCCTTTAAAGTAAATAAAGGTTAGATATGGTTAATTTAGGCCATTTTAGTAGTATATAAGCAGTTGAGACTTGCCAATGCAAGCGCACAGAGTGGAGGAAAGCTGAGAGACCCTCCATTAGAACCAGGACAAAAACTGTCAGGCTTGCCCATACAGCAAATATCAGAAAGAGCATAGCACTTCCATAGTAAGCATCAATTTGCAAGCCCATTCGCATCACCATGCTCCAGAGAACTTCCGATAACTCTATTCAAACAAATGCATTCACATATTCTTAAATCAGTGTCAAAATGATAAGTGAAATTTATACCCAGATTTAATAATAATGAATTAAACCAAGCGCGAATTCCAGTGAACTCTTTAATATTTAGAAAAAAATTCCGATTGGCTGTTTAGAGGTACGAATGAATCTGTGCGGCATAACCATCGATGCAAATAGAACAACTGGTTGTATTTTACAGAAGCTTGAGTTCTGTTTTTGTCCAGACAGGGGGGAGGAAACATCCCTTCATAGACAAATTATTAATCAATCGTTATTAATCAATGAATTCCAGTTTATTTTTTTATAGTGAAAGTGTGAAATTCCAATTCAGACAAGGAGCACAGTAGATATTACATCCTGCTCTTGATTGTTCAGGAATTAAACGTCCATAAAGATACTAGAATAATGACTGCCTTCATTAATTTTGGTTTCAAATATTTAAATTGGATAATAGAAATTAAAATGATGAGCCAACATAAAAAAGACAAATAAATTTAGATCTCTCTTTAAATCAGCATTCATAGCCATCCATTGATAAAATTAACATATCCATGGTCAACTGAAACGCGTCGGTTATTTGTATAAGACGTGACTTTGGGCTCCAACACAACAACAAAGATTTATGCGGAAACATGCACGTTTCTTCATTGACAAAGAAAGGAATTGCTCCTTTTACACCAAATTGTTACTGAGAGCGAGAAGTGAGGCGTTAGTTGGAAAACAATGGTCGTCTTGACGCCAAAAACCCACCTCATCCCTTAAGCCAATTTAGGTTTAACTTTTCGGAATAAGTATTCAACGTGGAAAGCCTATACCCACAGACCAAAAATGGCCTCCCAGAAAAGTTAGGTATCAAATGAGAAGGTTCTACAACATTATCCACATTTCCTAGACCTTGCCTCATCCGACCAACATGGTTTTTGAGCCATGGTGCGTACTCAAAGAGGGAAAAATATTTCGGAATGAACCTATGTTTTGCCTCACCTACATGGTTCTGTGGGACACGTTATCACTGTGTGCGTCATCGTATGCCTGCATGTCTGCTCACCAGGATTGGGACACGTTATCGCTGTGTGCACCATCGTATGTCTGCATGTCTGCTCGCCAGGATTGGGAGGTCTTATGCCTGCATGTCTGCTCGCCAGGATTGGGAGGTGCGGCCACAACTCTGTGTGCAGCATACAAACAGTGACCAATCATTAACCTCTGTTTGTTTAACACACAAACAGTGACCAATCCTAGCCTCTGTTTGTTTGACCTAATCCGCCATCCTGATCATGATCGACCTCTGTTTAACCTAATCTCCCATACTGATCATGAGTAGCTCCATGCGTGTTTACACTTGATCCGCAATATACTTCCTGAACAAACGTGCTCCGTGCTATAGCTTAGCTGGGTCTGGGAGTCTAGCTAGACGCAGGAGGATCTGCCATAGAGATTTCTGAGTCAGTCAGGCTTTAATAAGGTAGCAATCCGCTACAGTTCTTAAAATGCGTGATTTCCAATTGTCAGTCATAATATTAAGATGGCAGTGAATTTTAATCTCTCCTAAAAACCATCAATCCAACTAAATTTCAATCGAAGAGACTAATGCAACATTCTAATTTATGAAGGCCGTATCTATCAACCAAAAAACTTAAACTATAAACATTCGCTTTTCATTCTTCTATATGTTTGTTCAATTCTTCTTGAACGGTGCACATTTTTGCAAGATTCCCTCTGATTAAATAAAAATAATAATAAATTTTATAATAATTCCATTATACGTACGAGCATGAGCCAAACTCAGCGCCCAAAGTCGAAGATATGAAGCCGTGTTAGAAATACATCCGAGGCAGTATTCAATTGTATTAATTGCAGAATAGATTATGCATTCACCAAAATTAAACTAAAATTAAGAGAGAGAGAGGGAGAGGGAAAATAAACAATCAGAATTTTGTTTTATATTTAATGAAATAAAGTATTATTTAATCGAATTACATTTTCTAGATCTTCTCCATGGCCACCATGGGCGCCGGAATTTCCGTTGGATTGCTTCTGGATTTCTCCGTTATCTGCAGGCTTTGGTTGATTTGAAGTTTCTACATTCAAACCCATCTATATATACAGAATTGAGTTCATCATATTAAAAATTCTTTCATGACACAAAATACAACATTACCAGACTTACATTGCGTTTATAACGACAGCGCAGAATGAGTGGTTTCGCCAGAAACATCCATGGAACACAGGACACTGCAAGAATCATAAGAAGCGATTGTATAGCAGCTTGTCCAGAATAAAAGGTGTCACCCGGTCCGCCCTTTACTTCATAATTGAACTTGAACATATTGATTAACACTAGAGAGCAGGGGGGAGGGGGGGAGAAGCGTTAGGCGATTAAAACAAGCAATTTACTAATTAAGAGACTTGGTGCGTTTGCTGCATCATCCGCCGTGAAAGCGCCCCACTTGTAGAAGATAACAATAGTTAGGTAACCAAATATGGAGACGAGGAACAGCAATTGGGGCAAAGTTACGCACCAAATCATCAATCTCTGATTATAGAATCTAAAAGAAATCAATTTGAGAGAAAATTATCAACCTGTTATTCAAAAAGCTGAGCACAACTCCAAAGCTCATATGGAACACGGCAATGATGATAGACATCTTCATCTTAAGAGAATTCATGAATGGAATTTTGTTATTGGAGATTTGCCAGATCGGATCCACGCCAAATGGATATGGTTGGCCTGCGTACATTTGATCCGTTATATTCTCCGACGTGCGTGGTTCCAATTGCAGGAAGGGTCTTGCTGCTATGGTATGCTTATCATAATCTGGATACCAGGAAGAACCGAAAAGATTAGCCGACTTGGAGAAGAAGTCATTGTAGATGATACCAGTGTAGATAGAAAAGGCTCCCATCAGAACGACTATATACCGACCGCCAAAGAAGGTGCACCATATTTCTTCCTTAATGTGCAGCGCCTTTGTAAAAAAATGACAATCAATAAGCTATATCCATAGGTGTGTTATGTGACACATGATAATGGACAACGAAGTTGAATAGACTATGACAGCTGCTGATAGTATTCAAAGAAAGACTGAACTTCAGCACTAACTATATTGAAGATACCGCTAAGGTAATTGGTGTGCATGTCACTAAAACAAAGACGCCGTTGAGGATAGCGGTTAATGGTGTGGGCGTCAGATCACTCAGTGATGGTAACACGTGCATTAGCGGGGCTTTTAATAATTGATTCATCCAAAATTTACGATGACCAAATGCGTTAACCTTTTAACTAATTAAATTTTCATATTTGCCTCTCCTTATCAAGTGCCTAAGGGATGTGAGCTAAAATTGAACACAATCATAACGACATTAATCACCTGTACAGACAAACATCTGAACAACAGTCCTCAATCCATGATTGCTATGATCCCTTGTCAAATCTCATCTCTTTGATCAGTTTCTGACTTACCAGCGACTCGTATCGCGTAATTCCTATTCGCTCTCAAACAGACCATTAACTTGTCTTCTCATTACATCTTGTTGCTACAATGACGATTGGTAGAAGATAGAAGACATAGACCAAAGTATAGGTGGAATAGATAAAATACTTCAGCTGCTAGTCCCATCTTCAATCAATTCATAACCAAGTGGCTACGATGACTAACCCACTATTCAGTTTACAGCAAAAAATTGCTATGAATGCTCAGACCCCATGAGAATACCTGTGGCTCAAACGATGGTTTCTTTTCCTTTTGAGAAAATAGAACACAACTACAATTGTACGTATGCGTCAGTAAGCTACTCATCTTAGCGATAATAAGTTCGGTTGTGGCTTGACGTATCCAGGTCAAAATTTGAGAAACTAATCGAACCAATTATGTAAAAAGGGAGGCTTGTAAGTTTCGCTCTGGTACAAATGAAATATTTACATTTTATCAAATGACAGGCTTTATGATAGTCATCATTAGCCCTATGCAAATGAAATATTGAAATCGGTTGATAAGCCTTCGATATTTAAATGCGGATTTGACATTACAAGGGTACTAATACACTAATCCTTAAGCTTTTAACACTGTTCAAGATTAAAAGAATGGAGGCAGGGACACAAGCAAGTTGGCAAACAACTCACCTCAAGACGTTTCTCCCAGATAATCATTCCAAGTGCGAATAGAAACATGATCAAGCCATGTCCAGCGTCGCCAAACATTACAGCGAAGAGGAACGGGAACGATGCTAGTGAAAACAGTGCAGGATTGACTTCTCGGTACTTCGCAACACCATAGGAATCCATAATATTTTGAATGGCCTCCGTGAACTTGTCATTTCGATGGAATGTTGGCGGTTCATCTTTGGTGGGTAGAGCATTGAGGATGGGTTGAATGGTACTGCCCGATTTCTGCATCCCTCGACAAAGAGCCAAGTTAATTTGATCCAGATCACTTACGGCACTCCAACACTCACCAATCATACACTTTGTTGTTACGTCAAGATCGAAGAGGTTGAGAATGTGATAGATGGCCTTCATTTTGCGAACCCGAATAAACCAATTGTTTAGATTTTTCGCAGCGGCCTCAAGAATACGCTGACGGTGCTGCTGTGTCTGGGTCATGACGGTTTCTAGATCATCGATTTTTTGGACTATGTCAATCAGCATTGATCGCCTATCAGCTGAGGATTCGGGACAGGGGTATAACGTTGCATGGAAACTAGTAATCAATCAAAGAATTACTTCAAGATATATTTCAAAATTGAAGATTAGCTCCTATAAAACTATGTAACTCATCAAAATTAAGTTGTTAAACCTATCACCATTTCCCATTTGTAGTAATGGAATATTGAGAACTGTGCATAAAAGCCTAGAAGAATCTCAAGGAATACATGTCTTGTCTGCATCAAGTCGAGTTACTTTTTGTCAGTTAGAAGTAATTGGATAGGAAAACTATAGAGAGAAATCAATCAAAGTCAATCGTCATCTCAACTCTTTTCTTTCGATCCACCACCAAGAACCATTATTTCACAGAAGTGGCCTGAAAACAAAATTAATTATTTAAATAAAGTTTGGTTTAATGAGGCTATAATCTAGGGTTAGGAAATAGGAAAACTGTAAGGGGATCCCCTTCCTTGGGGTATCGAATAGGAATACCCTATTTTTAAGAAAGAGAAACCTCAAAACGAATTTAATTATAAAATGTAACCAAACAAGGTAACCCATCTCAATTCATTAAGGAAAATACAAGTTTATGATAGTATCTAGCATCTATAATATCACCATGTACAAAGTTGGATAACACCAATCAACTGTTAAGCCGTTAAACAGCGCGAATATGGACCATAAATCGAACAGAAATTGAAGGAATTTGTGTGAAATACCTAAAGGAAGAATATGAAGCAAGTAATTCGAAAACCCAGACATCAAGGCAAATAAATCAGCATCTTCTTTAAAGAGAGATTTCCTAATAAAACAAAAATTAAAATTAAATAAAATAAATCCCCTATCCTTCCTAAAATATCACAACAGTTAAAGTGATTTTTAACGTTTAAAAATTGAGAAAAAATTCTAACTTAAATGAAAATCGTATAGCCTACACCTACCCTTCGCATATTTTTGCAACCCTTGATTTTAATTGATCGCCTTGAATGAAGATTATGAAAACAGTTTTGTAAACTTTTTCGCCCTGAAAGTTGGAAGAGAATAGTTAATTCACTAATGATGTAACATTTATAAACCAATCATAAACCTACTGTCAAGAGATCTTCAATGGGCAGTTCGATTTCCGCCTGTTTTAGAAAAACGTTTCCACAGCAGGCTCTCCACAACATTCGCTCAAAAGCCGGCAGCATTTCTCGTAAAATCACTCCCGCAACGAATCTGCAAAGAACAAACACACATAGAAGTGATTTCGACAACATAGAACCAAAGTAAATAGATTTACACCATTTCCTTTTTGCACACTGACTAAGACAACAGATAAATGACGGGACAAGACAAGATTACAAAATAATAACGCTAACCCTAAGTGAAGATCACCACCATTAAACGTGGATTGACCACCTTCCTCCCTCAGTAGACCTAAATTTTCGTCAGTGCTAAGCGAAGCAGTGTGAAGTGCCTAAGCAAATTATTCAGAATAAAACTGTTTTGTGAGGTGGAATTTCAAATAAAAGACTATACGAATGCGCAATACCTCATCGAAAAATATTTGCGTTTTTCGTAAAAGATGCTTCATTTCTTGAAGTTCAAAGTAAGTTTGACGAAGATTTCCGATGCTTGCATTAACTTCCTTTGTTTCATTTTCTAGCTTTTCAAATGTCGTCTCCATGTCAATCATTTCTCTAGGAGCTGGGGCCTCCGGAATATCATGACATTCGTAAAGAGTGAGTTTGTTAACTTGAATTTCATTAAGCATAAACCCTATAAAAAGTGTCATTAAAATTATTCAAGAAACGAACTCAGTTTTCTCTCCATTTCATCACAACGGCGAACTTCGTTAACAAATTTTCGTTGAAATATATTTCGATCGGCATTAATCTAAAGAATATAAAAAACATACAAGTCTCACATCACGAAACTGTACAACACCTAATTCTCCAAGTTCAACAATGCACATGTATGCGGAATCAATATGCAAAAGCAGCTGGGAAAGCCGCATTTCCTCACTCCTGAACAACGAACCCATTTCTACATCCACATTAAGCGCCTAATAACATGGCCTTAAGTCATTTTACATGTTAATTATATATGGAAACTTAAAACAAAAATAAAATATTCAATTAACATCATTATAAAACATTAAAATATATTTCAAAACCAACTTATTTATAAATATTAGTTTTTATTTACTTCATAGTTCAAAGAAATGTAAAGATGTCAGATAATTTAATTTTAAAAATTAACATGATATATTTGAGGACTTATACCTTAATATATTTTGCAACATCAAAAAATTATATTATGGTCTTTTCAAAATTACCAAGACTCTTTGAATGCACACCTAATGAAAATGTGCAGTCGATTCACAATATGGACTTAAAATAATGGAAAATAAAAATGTTTGACAAAGGTATTCATCACAGTTACTGTTTTATTACTACCTAATTTCGCATAACCAACTTATTTCTTTGTCAATGATGGTCACGATTTATTGATAGCAATACTAATGTTATCATCAAATATTACTTTATATTCAACGAAAATCATGGAAACAATGCCCAATAGCATGAAGGTGGGTAATTGCAGGTATTAGCAAACAGTGTCTTAAAGGAAAGTCCAAAAGGATTCATTTGAAGGTAATTACGAAGACTTGTGGTTGATAAGATGAAGCAAGAGGAGGTAACGATTTGCTTCGTGCTCGATTTGGACAGATGGCAAGGAGAATAAGGTGCATGCAGCAGGCAAGAGAGTATTTAATCAAGCTAGTTTATGGGTGCGAATACAATCCTAACTCCAAACCCTATGTATTCATGAGTTCTAACATCGAATTTTTCAAAGGGTCTGATTTTCTAAGTTGCCCAACATATCTAGGCACACCGTTCGATTGCGCCAATCTTTGTAAACACACGTGCACAAATGTTAACACTACAGCATTTGTAAGCGTGTAGATAACGGACAGCAGTCTGATTCAAATTAATCAGTATCTCCCAATCTCGAGTTCTTTTCAATTTTTATCCCTACAAAATGTATGACTTACCTCTTCAGGGAAAGCATCAAATGTTAAACATTTGGCCTCAAGTCAGGTCAACTTCAACTGACCATTCATTCAACTTGCTGAGTTTCATCTCTCCCACTAGTCTGTTTGATGCAACTTTTGTACCGCACATTTTGGGTTGATGCACAGAGAGCATCACAGAGATCTCCTGTGAAAACACACAACTATCACCACTTGCTGTAAAGGCCGGTGTTGCGTGGTGCACAATCGTCATTCCATGCCTTGGGTGTAAATCACTCGAACGCCACTTGCGACATTGATTTACTCGGTGCATGCACATAGAAGCAAGTGTAAACAAAACATTCCCAATGTTCCCAATACATATATACGTGATAACAAATTTCTTCGACCTTGAACAAATTATTTGCTAGCCATATTGAGACTATTTGTTGCTGGCATCAAAAGTGTGTGCAAAACTCTCGAAGCATTGGGGGAAAGCAGAGAAGTGGACAATTCTTGAATCGAACGTTATGCATTCATCTACCAACACAACAGATCCTCTCTATAGCTACTTTAGGAATGAAACTCGTGTTACTTGAGTTTTGCACAAATTAATTTGAAGGAGTGGAAGACTATGAAGGTGGAAAGGAGATTGTCCCAATAACCCCCACCCCCTCCATTTGAGTTGTTTTACTGTTGGTCTCTCAAGACCATCAGAGGAGAACATTAAAAGTCAAACTGCTGTAGTGTTGATCTCCCGACCATTTGATAGTTTACAAAAAAACCCCTTGATATGCAAAAAATAAGTTCTCTTTTCATGTCATGAAACAGGAAGTTCGTTAATATTTACGACCACCTGGCATTAACGGCACCACATATTTACAGTAAACAGAAGTCTAACAGATTGCTACTACAACTTACCACCAAATTTTTAATGCGAGCAAATTATCACAGCTTCTGAAATAGTGGAAAAGTTCAATAAGAATGGATTATTTCAAAAATATCAATCATCGAAATAATGCCAAATATAGTAAAATGGCTTTTTAGCGAAATCATGTTCTTGAGGCTTCGCAACTGTCTGTATGCTTGAGGATTGTTGGCTTCGCGAAGTGAATATGACCACTTGTCGGGACAATTTGCTCTTAAACCTGATAAGTATCGTTATCCCGGTGTTTATGTTAAATGAAGAACTTGAGAGGACATTAATAGGATGGTTTAAGTCAATTCAACTTTATGCCTGTGACTACTCATTTCCAGTATGTAATCATATTTAAATGCATAATGACCTTGTGTTCGATGTGTGTATATATCTCGTTTGACATGCAGTAATTTTACTATATTTGGCATTATTTCGATGATTGATATTTTTGAAATAATCCATTCTTATTGAACTTTTCCACTATTTCAGAAGCTGTGATAATTT